GAAGCGGATGCGGCATCCCCAAGGCTCGCATCGGCGTGGGCGTTGGTCAGTTGTGTGATGGAAGCCACGTATGATTGTTTGTGGCCAGTCGGGGGCCGTAGGTGGGAGGGGGTGGGCGTAGGCTCATCACCGCACGGGTCTCTGAGTCTGGGCCCGGTACCCCCGTGGTCTTCTGGTGTGGTTGGCTGGACGCAGGTCTGGGCCAGTTGCCCCCCAGCCTGCGTACCCCCTCTCAGTTTTTTGAAGAGCGGCCCCCGTCGAGGTCGCTTTCGCCGCTCTCAACGAAGGATGCCACTCTGTCGCCTGGGTCCGCGAAGCCGTCGTCCGCGTCGCAGATCCTGACCTTTTTTCGGCTGGCTCCTCGCACTCCTGGGCTCTCTTGGCTGCCTCAGGTTGCCTCTGCAAGGTGGTGCTGAACTCGTCCTCTCTGGCGTGCCCATGTGGAAGCGTGGAGGTGGCGGCTGTGGCTCGTGTGGCACGGTGGGCGTAATGTCCTCAATCGGCAGACGTGGGGGGGTGCTGGGACAGGCTTCCTCGTCGCGGCTGAGGTCGATGAACCGGGTCGTCATTGGTGTTCTGGCTGGCTGTAGCTGCTGCTGTGGGCTCTTCTTTGGCGTGAAGGGCGTGACGGGTGGGATGATGTCGAGCATAGGCGTGGGCTGCTCCGTCGGGATGGGTGAGTCGGCTGCTAGCGTTGGTGAGAGTGAGGCAAGGTCCGTCGGTGCTTCGTCCTCCTTCTCCCCGTGTGAGTCTTGGCCCATCTTCGGCTCTTCCTCCTGGAGGTCCGCGTCGTCGGATTCACCGATTGGGATGCAGTCACTGCTTGCCCTCACGCCGAGCTGTCCCTCCTCCCTAGCCTCCTCAGCAGCGGCACTTTCTCCTTCTCCCAGTCCCAGGCTGACCAAGTGTCGGAATGGGTCGCAGCTGGCGTGCTCCTCGATGGGCGGGTGCTGAGGTGGTGGTAGTGGCGGCGGCGGGAGCTCCACTGCAGGTGGCCTCGGCGCGAACCTCAAGTCCTGCAAGCTGAAGTCGCTATTCAGTGTGAGGCTCGACTCCTCTGGCGTCGGCCTCGACGATGTATGTGACCTCTCTCCTGGCCCCACCATGGCCAGCTCCTCGAGGTACGACGGCAGCTCGGGATGTGGGGGCTCGTACTGACTAGGGAGCAGTCGGAGTAAATCTGCCTCCAGTTGCTCTCTCTGGTACTTGTCCTCCTGGTCCGCCATGACTTGGTCGCGCTCAGCTGTGGCCGAATCCTCCATGAGGTCGTCCGTCATGTCGACTAGCAGGTCCTCATCCACCTGTCCTCCTGCACTCCAGGCGTCCCGTAGAGCGTTCTGGAGTCCAGCTGTCTGCCGATCGTGCTGCCGTTGCAGATCTTGCAGTTGCTGCTGCCTCTGTATGTCGTTCATGTGCTGGATGTGGGCGTGGTGCCGTATCGCGGTCTGCATCTCCTGCTGGTGCTTGTGCTGCAGTGTGCTGTGATACTGCTGAGTCGCATGGTTCTCCAACCTCTGCTGGTGTTGTACGACCTGGAGTTCGCTCGTGGTTGCCGCTTGCCGCTGCAATGCCACCTCCTCTATCCTCCTAACATTGTCCTCAGCTTCCTGCTGCTCTCCGGCGCGCTCCAAGTACCTCTCCTGCTCGTACTGCATCTCGTGGGCCTTCGCCTGGATGGCTGCGTGCTCCAGGTTCAGGATGACCCGCATCGCCTCACGCCTGTTGGACTCCTCCTGATGCTCGTGGACCATCCGCTGGCAAGCCAATGCGATCTGCTGCTCCTCTTCTTTGTGAGCGCTGCGTCGCGCGCAACGCTCCTGGTATTCCGCTTCCGCCATCTCCTGCATCACTCTTTCAGTGTGTTCCTGCGCCGACTTGTGCCTCTGGGCCTCTTGAGCCGCCATCTGTCGTATCGCCTGCTCCTCCTGCCTGGCCTTCTCGACCTGCTGCGTGTAGATGGCTGCTCTTCTCTGGTCCTCTTGCTGCATCTCCTCGCGTAGCATCCTCTTTTCCGCTTCGAGGTGCTTCTGCAAGTCCACGAGCATCCCTTTGGCTCTCTCCTCCTGTGTCCTCTGGCTGCCTCTCTGCGCCTCGTATGCCTTCGCTTCCTCCTCCTCCAGCCTGGCGGCGTGGTGTCTCTTGAGCGCGTTGACCTCCCACGTGTGCCACTCCTGCTGCTTGGCCAGCTGGGCTTCTGTCGTGCGGAGCACCTTTTGCGCCATCGTCTGCTCGCAGGCCTTCAACTCGCTCTTGCGCTTGAGCTCCGCCTGCACCAGCATGTCGCGTTGCTGCTGCCCCCTCTTCTGCTGCAGGTCGAGCCTCTCGGTCAGCTTCCTGATGGCGTCCTTGATCTCGTCGTTGTTGTCGGCGTTGGTCCTTCCTGCCGGTGGCCGGGCTTGTTTTCCTGACCTTCGCTCATCCTCGTCTTTGCTGCCTTTATGTCGTGCTTCATGCTGTGCTGTTGCTGCTGGTGCTGCAGCTGGGTCGCGCCTCCTCCTCGCGGCTGGGTGTGGCGTACGTCCTCTGGTGCGATCGTCGCACCCCTCCTCCTCCGACGTCTCTCCCTTTACGCCCGCCGCTTTGGCCATCTGGTCCCTGGTTTCCCTCAGCAAGGTCTTGTAGATCTTGATGGTTCGGGCGGCCGCCGCCTGGTCGAGCATCGTGTTGAGCCGCTTCTCCATCTCGGTGTGATCCTCCAGCCTTTCCAGTGTAGCCCTGAGCTGCTTCATGCGCTCCTTGTGGGGCAGGACGAAGGAGATGTTCGTGGCTGCGGTCGCCGCTTCCTGCTCGAGGTTCTTCGTGCACAGGCCTGCCGACCTGGCGCCAGCGATGTTGTCGGCGAGGCGGCCCAGTCTCTGGCACTTCGCCTTATACCACACATAGCGCATCTCCTCGTCGTCGGGTGGGGCGGACCAGCTCTCGTGCTCCATCGCAACGGCGAAGGTGACTGGCGTGATGCTGTCCAGGACCTCCTTCTGCTGCAGGCTGTACTGGAAGTTGCCGATGTGGGCTGCCGTTGGTGCATCCTGTTGGTCCTTCCTTCTGCGCCTGCTGTTCCTCCTCCTGGCTGAAGTACTCCTCCATGGTGCACTGTCCTTCCAGTGCTGAGCGTTGTCGCTTCGCTGCTGGTATTGGGCTTGTTGTTGTTGGTGCTGGTGGTGGGCTTGCTGCTGTTGGTGGTTGTGGGCGTGTTGTTGCTGCTGGCTGTGCTGCTGCCTCTGTGCGTTGTGCTGTTGGTATCCGTTGTGCCGGCGTTGGTAGTGCTGGTTGTCCCCTCGGGCCCATACCCAGGGTCGTCCTCCAACGGCTCCAACGTCTCCAGTCCATGAGTCTCTGTCGACTGACTTGGCGCGCTGCTGGCGTTGGTGCTGCTGCTGCGCCTTCGTAGTCATCGCGAGGTCGTGAGGCTGCTGCTGCTGGTACTGTGGCTGCTGCTGCTGGTACTGTGGCTGCTGCTGGTGCTGCTGATGGCGCTGGTGCTGCTGCGCTGAGTGGTGGGCGTTGAGGACGTTGGCTGCCTCCACCACCCGCAGCAGAGCCCTTGCCGAGGAGCGGCGGGCCCTCTCCCGCCTGTGCCAGGCGGGCTCCTGGGGCGTCTGGCCCCTCCTGGCGCGCCAGCAGGCGCGCAGCCAGGCACAAGGTCGCGGCTGCGGCGGCGACTATCGCCGACCCGCCGCGGCGCGCGAGCCCGGCTCCGCGGGCGGCCGATCCCGATTGGCGTGAGTCGATCGGCGCGATCAGACGATCAGGCCGAACGCAAGATCGTTCACGACCCAGGCCCGCCAGAGGCCAAATGGGCTTTCCCCGACCCCTCTCTCTTGTCCGCGACTGCGGCGGCCTCCTTTCCCCAGTGGGCGGAGAAGTTGCCACATCCAGGCAAAGGTACGAGGGCTATCTCAAAGCAGGTACGGCAGAAGTCAGGGCAAGACCTTTTCATGTCCAGCAAAATGCGCTGGCTCACTCGACAGGTACGAGTAAGTATCCCGCCAAATTGCTTTAGCGACAGACGGACCAATGCGTTGAATCATGCAAAGAGTAGCGGCGAGAGAGAGAGAGAGAGAGACAGAGAGTCCGTCGACATGTTTTTGGTGGTGGATGCGGGAGCACGTCCCTTCCCCAAAACCTCCTCCCGCCGCAGAAAAATGACGGCGAAAGGTTGTCTTGCAAATGTTCTGCCAGTGGACGCCCTTCCCTGGCTAAAAGCGACACCACCCCCACCAGGGGGGGCACTTCCAGCGAGAAGGTCCACGGTGCCTCCCAGAGCTGGGGATCCGGGATGTTTGAGCGAGAGAGGGAGGGGGGGGGGCACACCACCAGGGGACCCTCCCTGGCTCCTTCCGCGGGTGGACCCTGGCGGTGGTGGTGTCGCATTTTTTTGTGCCTCGCGCGAGGGGAGCGGCCTTGCAACAATGCGGGGGGGGGCGTCCAAAGAGGCATGCGGCGTCTCCGAGGCCTCCTGGCTTCGGGGATGCCTTCTCGGAAGCCCCTGGGCCATCCTCAGAGGGCCATGCCTTCTCAGCAGCCCCCCCGCGCCCTGAGAAGCCTCCCCCCACCCTCGCGCCACCCTCGTGGGCGCGGCCAACTTCCGCTGTGGTTTTCTCTTGCCTCGACGGGAGGAGGTCTGGGCCTACGGCAGGTTCGTCTCGCGTCGACGCGGCTGCGACCCCAGCGCAGGCGTTCACGGTTGGGCGCCGCCAGTGGCCACGAGCCACCAAGGGGCCGTGGTCGTTCCGGGCTGAGCGGCCCTCGCGGCTTCAGAAGCCAACTCTCGGGGGCGGATAAGATGGGGGTGATGACTAGGGGGGGGGGATCTCGTGGCGTGGGCCATGTTTTTTCCTCAGATTTCATGGCGCCTCTTCTTATTTCGTTACGTCCCTGGCCCCCCCGCTGGGCTGCGCACATGCCGACGGTCACGATTTGCACCCCCCCCCTCTTGGACACCCCCCTCTTGGCCGCTCCCGAAACTCTGGGGCCGTCGCGGCACGGAGTTGCCCTGCGAGGTACCCTCCTCTTCGAGCTGTGCGTCATCCTCCCCGTCGCCGCGGCCGCGGGCGCTCCACGGGGGGGCGGGGGCGGGTAGGGGGGGGGTGGGGGGCTGCCTCGCGCGGCCCTCCCGGGTGCCAGCCTGCGCACGGGATTGGGCGGGTCCCGCGGGTCCCGCGGGGCCCGAGGCAGTCGTGCCAGAGCCGTGCCCGGACGCCGTTCCAGTCGGTTGCGGTGCGCGGCTGCTGCACACGCAGTGCCGCTGGCGCTCGGGGAGCGCCCGGTTCGAGGCGGCGTGTCCTTCAGTGGCCTGGAAACTGTACACGCTGGTCCTTGGGAGTAGGCAATGTTCGGGCCCTCTGGTTCCGATCCAGTGTAGCCGCCTTCCTACTTCAATAGTTGAGCGGTTGTCCAGTTTTCCTTCTCTTCAGGGGCGGGCGGAAGCCCAATCTACTTCCAACGCGTTCCCACGTCATGGTTTTGCCGACGTCTTCTGACCGCCGGGTAAGGATGGGCAGACAAAGTCTCAGCATGGGGGATGGGTGGGGAGGAGGAGGAGGAGGAGGAGGAGGAGGAGGAGGAGGAGGAGTAAGACGAGGACGAGGAAGGAAAAGAAAGAGGCGTCAGAACTCGTCCTCGGGGTAATCGATGCCGCAGGTGCCCCCCAGAATAGAAATTTACATACTTGCACACAGTTTGTAGCCAGGACGCAAGAGTGTGGCTTTGTCTAGATTCTGGCATGGTTGCCTGCATGACGTTTCGCCCCCCCCTTTCTCCCCTCGTCCTCCGCCACCTTTTGAAAACGACGCTTGGCCGAGAAGGGGTGCATGTGTGTCCCGAGTCGGGCATCGCCACGCGCCCCGCTTCATGCAAGTCAGTGTGTGGGAGTCTACAGGAAATGTGCCTCGAAGAGGACCCAAGTATTGACGAAGCGTCCTGCTCTTCCGATAGGCTGGCCCACCACAACGCGGAGATCTCCATACATACAATTTCATGTCCTAGCACGCTTCGTTGTGAGTGTTTGGCCGTGAGTGTCAGTGTGTGAGAGCGAATCCGAGTGGACGACGAGTGCGACGCCGACGACGACGACGACGGCCACGACGGCCACGGCGGCGGCTACGATGAGGGACATCAACAAACAGGGGAACTGCCGGAGACATCCCCACAATCCGGGCGCGAACATACCCTCTGGCGCCCCCCACCCCATTGGGTTCTGAAGCCAGCGCCTCGCTCTAGATGTTCTCACACTCTGTTTGGAAAGCACCGAAGTCCGAGCCCCCAAGCAGGCAAACCGCCTTAAACGTCCCCACCATCTGGGCGCGAACGGGCCCGTGAACTACCCCTCCCCTATCGGTTTCCCCTTTGCGTGTTGATACCAGGGCCTCGCTAAAGACATGCTCACATTCTGCGACTGCGAATTCGGTAGGTCTAAGCGACGGTTAATCTGAGTGTGAGTACGTATGTGCGCGATTGAGTCTAAGTATGAGTGAGTTTGCGTGTGGATGAGTATGCGTGTGAGTGTGTCTGAGTATGAGTGGGTTTGAGTATGAGTGAGTCTGCGTGCGTGTGTGTGTGTGTGTCTGTGTGTGAGGCTGAGTGTGAGTGGGAAGAGGGAGTAGGAAGGAGAAGAGGCGGAGGCGCCACACGAACTTGAACTGCAACATCTGCATATTTAGGAGATGGGAAAGTCTGACATCTGTCTTGTCCTCATCAACTGCTCTGATGCTCTTGAGGACTCCTCCTCCTCCTCCTCCTCCTCCTCCTCCTCCTCCTCCTCCTCGTACGAACATTTAGATCACTCCTCCTGAGGACACCTCGCGGCGGGCCTGCTCAAAAAATACCGGGCCAGTCGGCCCCTGCCCGATCCGACCCCGACGCCGCTCCTCCGGCAGTCCAGTGCGGCCCGACACGTTCGGGGGAGCGTAAGACCCGGGTTTGCCAGGTCGCCATCGTTTTTTGACGACCGCGATTCGGATTTTGACGAGCAGGAGTTTCGTGGGACGTTTGCAGCGGGAGGCCTCGTCAAAATGCAGGCTCGGCCTCGCCATTTTTTTGACGACCTCGTCGGGGATTTCCGAGTCCCCTGTACCCGGTTCTTACGCCCCCTTGACATGTCTGCGGGGCGCTGCCGTGGCCGGGCGCGGCCGATTCGCTTCGGCTCGGGGCTCCGTCCGCAGCTGCTCGACGCCGCAGCTCGGCACAGGCCGTCCGCGCGCGCGCGCTCCGGCGGACCGGGCAAGGGACGACGCGAACGGTCCGGCCGGCTGCAAGAGATCGGGGGGGAGACAGGTAAAACGACGCGAGGATCGGGACAAAATCGGATCGGGATAACTCGAAATCTTTGAGAATCGGCGGGTTTGGAGGATGTATTGGGCGCCGCGGCCGCTCCAGAGCGTTCCGGAACGCTCTGAGAGCGCTCCGGAACGCTCTGGAGCGATTTATCCCGATCCTAGCCCTGCTTTAACAGGCTCAGGAGAAGACAAAAGCACACAGACACAATTCATCGTCGATTCCCAGGGAAGTATGGAAGATATAGGAGGTGGGAGGGAAGGCAAGAGCCCAGAAAATAGGGGAAAATATAGGGAATCCTGGGATTCGTGTGTGCTTATTTGTGTGTCCCAGGGCCCCTTTACAGGCGAAAGCGGCCGCGAGCAAGGACGGGAGGTAGGGCATTCACGTGGCGAGGTGCATCGCCTTGGAGCGGCCGGTGCGGCCAGCCAGTGCGTGCCGCACCACCCTGGCAGTAGGCCGCGGAGCGGCGTCATGGCCACACTCCGGGGCTGAAGCAGAGGCATCCGTCCGTAGACGGCAACGGCCACGTGGGCACCGGCGATGCAGGCTCCGCTATTGTAGGTGGGGTTGGTTCGTGGCCGAACCCATTGTAGGACAGCGTGGTTGGTCAGTTCCTCCATTTGGCCACGCCGCTGTTGCTAGACATTGTCGCGCAGCTGTACTATAGGAAGATGTGGTGCGTGATTTCCTGCAGTTTCTTCGGCGCGAGTTCGGCGCCACAAGAACAAGATGCCCAACATGACCGTTGACCAACATCGCCATTAAGCATGGCCTCCCTGCCCATGGGGCCCAAATCGCTGCCTACTCATGCGCGGTCAGGCAGGCCTCCTAACGTGGCAGAAACCTTCAAGGGGAAACCCAACCTACGCATAGATTCTCGGAGATCGGTACGGATTTCTTCGAACGCTCTTGTGCCCCCTGGGGACACCCCCGGCGTTGCCCGCCAGCGGAGGGGGCCCAGCGCCGATCCAAGAAAATCGCGCGGCCGCGCGGACTCCCGACAGTTTATGTTTACGCCGACGCGTCGAGCTGTTTTATCCCAGGTTGGTGATCTCGTCGGATCCGTGACAGATTCGTAGAACGCTTGTCGATCTACGAACATTCCACGCAGTATTCATGGATTCGACGAGCAAATCAAGTGTGGGACAACTCAGCTCTGCAGCAGGTCACTACTCGAGTGCTTCTGCTCCCAAAACCGCTTCACAGCGTTCTCGGAGCGCTTTGGCGCGGTTCGGACCGGGCGGCGGCGCCTGGTGGCAATTGCTTTGATCCATTGATTCGCCGATCGGCGTGGTTCTTTGGACCAGATCTTGGAGGAGGAGGAGGAGGAGGATGGAGGAGGATGGAGGATGGAGGATGGAGGATGGAGGAAAAGGAGGAGGAGGAGGAGGAGGAGGAGGAGGAGGAGGAGGAGGAGGAGGATGGAGGAGGAGAAGGAGGAGGAGGAGGAGGAGGAGGAGGAGGAGGGCGAGGAGCCTTCGGCGTGGTTTCCGGTTCACCGCCTCAAGCAGGTGGAGTAAGCACCAGGGCCCTACCCCCCCACCCACCCCCGGATGACGCGCGAACCGGTGTTTTCTTTGGCGGCGCTCAAAAGGGGGAAGGGGGAGGGGGGACGTCTTCTTAGAAGCACCCCTGCTTCTTAGAAGGCGCGGGCCTTGTCTGCAGATGTATAAGCCGGGGCCTTCTAAGAACCAGGGTGTTTCTAAGAGACCTTTCCCCCCTGCCCCGTTTTGCGCGCCGCCAAGAAGCGCGAATCGCTGTTTCCTGCACCTGTGCCTCACCTTTTCGAGGCGCCCCTTCTGGGGAACATATAAAAAGGGCCGCAGGCCTCAACAAAGAGCGTACCCTAAGGTGGCCAGCTGCAGAACCCTTCGACCTGTCGCCGGCTGCAGTCTTGTAGAAGCAGGGTTGCCTATAGTCCGTGTAGGACTTGATCGAGTTGGAATCGATTGTGGGATCCTATTGTTTACGCTTCGCGGATCTCCACCAGTCCAGCCAGGAGCCCTGCCCATGAGAGCTGACGGGAAAATGGACGAAGAGACACATATAGTGAAACAGAGCGTGCAAGGAGAAGAGAGGAAGGAGGGTGTTGAGCCATCTTGGAGGTTATCTTGGAGCACCGGAGGCCTTCTTGGAGCTACGGGGCTGTATTGGGGGATATTGGGGTCCTCGTGGAGCTCGGTTGGGGTATCTTGGGGCTGTCTTTGGTGCGAGGAAAGACAGATCTCCTTAGACCACCTGTCGCCTGGAGGGCTGGTGGGATTAGGAATGTGGTTTGTTGGAGCCAGATCCTGTCAGAGTGTAGCCAGTAGTTGTAGGGTCGCCAGAACCGAGATAAACATGTAGCCTCTTGCAGTAGAAATCCATCAGAGTTGCAGCGAAATGTTATGAGCGTCGAGGAGGTCTGCAGCCAGTTGCAATCAGTTGTTTCGTCTTTGAGTTGCAGCCAGCTTTAATGGGATATGGCTACAGCCACAAGCCTTTGCATTAAGGCGGGCGTGTCCCTCTACAGAAAGAAGATTCAAACATAGTCAAACAATAGTCTGGGGACGATTTATTTTGGGGGGTGTCTTTTATTGTTCGTCCAAAATCCCCCTGCAGGGGGACACGCGCGACCTAACCTTTGCAAAAACGATCCTCTGAGAGTTTGCAGCCAGACACAACAGATCAGCAAAGCACGAGCAGAGCGACGAAGCACCCGGCCCAGAGCCAGAAATTCCCGTCGACGCCAGGAGGAGGATATTTTGCGCACCCTTCAGACCAAGCCGCTCGTCGAAGATCCCCAGGACCAGGAGAATAATACTGCAGACCTTCTCAAGACCAAGCCGCTCACCCTAAACCACTCGTCCACATGTTTGTGCAGATGGCTCCATCTCTTGTGGACAGCGGAGCGGCCCAGGACCGACCGCGAGCGCCATTTTGAGCGTCCTCGCTTCGGTTGGCTTCGGCTGCGCCTCATCGGAGGGCACCAACTATACACCAACACCGATCCTGGCCCAGGATCACCCTGGGCCCATGATCGGTGTATATGCCTTCTTGCCCAAGGCAGGAGGGCGTATACACCGATCCTGGGCCCAGGGTGATCCTGGCCAGGATCGGTGTTGGTGTATAATTGGTGCCTTCCTATCTCAGGCGGTTGCGTTCCGACGGGTCGGTTCTGTCGGCTGCTGCTGTTACATTATAGCCCTTCTGGGCCGCTCGCGGCCAATAGCCTCTGGTAGGTTTCGGTGTCGTTGTCGCTTCGGTCGGTGTTCGATTCGATCGTCTCCGCGGATGTCTCGATGGCCATACACCGCGGTGCCGCAAACTCCAGGTGCACACAACACACCCGACCGCAGTACAAACGCGCTCGAAACGCGTGACAGGGCCCACTGGAACGTCGAGCAGCTCGCGGCAACAACGGCAATGGTGACCACGGCCTCGAACAGTGTTCATATCCACAACGAAGACGGCTCACGCATACAGTAGAATCCCCGAGAAGTCCAATGGCAGTCTGCTAGTATGCACCCTCGCGGCCTGTGGGCGGCAGCCCCATCGAGCGTGGACGAGATGTTGAATGGGCGGAGAGGATGAGGGGACGGAGGCTGTGGAAAGGAATGAAAAGGAGGGGTAGGGGAAGAAAATGATGGGGGAGGTGGAGCCACAGTGAGAAGAGGAGGTGGAGCGCACCCGAGGAGATGTCCTGGGGCCGTTTTTTGAGGACGGAGGTGGAGGAATAATGAGGAGGAGGGGAAGGAGGAAGAGGATGATAATAGATGGGTGGGGATGGGAGAGACGGAGCAGGAGGAAGAGGAGGAGGGGGAGGGGGAGGAGGAGGAAGAGGAGCAGAACAGCGACGTGGAGGAGGAAGACCTCGACATCACAGATCCAAGGGTCAGACAAGTATCCCTCTGGAATTGTACGTAGACCCATCATGATTGTTGAACACCTCGACGGGGATCTTGTCTTTTGAAGGTAAATATGCTATGTTGTAGTGTAGCCCTCCAGGAAGGTCACGGGAGGATGAGAAGGAGGTTGTGTTGATCTCTTCTTTTGTGATTGGTTGCTCGCGTAGTTACTCTGCGCCCCAGTGGGCTCCTCATTTGCTCGTTCGTATTGCGCCTGGCTTTGTCCTGCATTTGTTTGCAGTCGTTCTGAGGCGGTATCGCCAAAGTAGCTTGTCTATGGGTTACGGTCGGACCGAGGCATACGATCGAGGTCGTTTCGGAGAGGGTATCTCGATGTGTTTGTGTCTTTGGGATGTCAGTGTGCATCCTGGGGGAAGGTACGCTCGAGTGCTTTTTGGTCTGGCCAGTGGAGGGTCCCCTATCCTTGAAGAATGTGATTATGTCCCAGGTCCGCTGTATTCTTTTTGGGTTCACCATCTTGGGTCAACGGTATCCGTCGATCCGGGTGCAAGATGGATAGTTCAAGTGGGGGGCCATGCCAAGAAACACCCTGCTTGCCTCCAGGGTGCCCTGGGTTTCTTGGGTTTCGATGGATCTGCTCTGCAAGGCGTCACATTCCCGCATCAAAAGTCAAGGGACGACCTGGGGTCTCAGGGTTGGGTCTCCTGTGTAAGGTTTTTTTGTGGAGGACGAGGGAGGAGGGAGACGAGGAGGACGAGGAGGACGAGGGACGAGTAGGACGAGGAGGACGAGGGACGGGCCTCCACTGTAATGGGGAGGAGGGAGACGAGGAGGACGACGAGCGCCGGCCGAGGGGCAAGGTGCGTTGCGGGAGTGCCTCGTGGGCCTCCTGGTGGGGGCTGCCCTGTGCGCCCGCTTCTGGATCCGCTTCCTGCAAGACAGGCACGCCGGGGGGCCGAGCCAGTGCATTCGGAGGTTGACGGACCTCCTACCCTGACACGTCGATTAGCGAATTGGCCGTTTTCGGTTCGCGAGAGGGTGTCGCGGCCGCCATTTTTGCGGGTCCAGGTCCGTCGGTTTCGGTCCTAGGCCATTTTCACTAAAGGGTGGTTTACTAAAGGGAGTTTAGTCCACCGCCGAGCGGATGCGTCGGGGCTTAAGAGAGACGAGGGTCAATGCAAACGGGGGGTCAGTCAGAGCGCTGGATCTTGCAGGATCCTGCAGGGCCAGGGGTGCATGGATCCAGGCTTGAGTACAGGATCCAGCAGGAGATCGCAGGATCTTGAAAAGCCTGGCTGACCCGGGTCTGGATGGACCCAGGTCAGTAGATTCCAGAATGCGAGGGCGGGAGCCCACACCGAAGGCACATCTTTGGGCTAAAGGCTATTTTTGTTGGCCCGCTGCAGGCGATGATTTTTACCTAACAGCGAAGACTGATAGGTTTCTAGTGGTGTAAAAAGAGCTCACAGATCACTCCACAGGGGGGTCCGGGCAGGTGTTGGGGCGTTTCCGGGCGGCATGAGCCGGGCTCGTTTTTCACCAACAGTCACACACTTCGTGCTCTTCGCCTTCCCAGAACTCCATTCCCAGGCCACATTCTGGGGGGCCGGATGCAACAGTCACACACAAAGTGCTCTTCGACATCCCAGAACGCCATTCCCGGGCCACATTCTGGGGGGCCGGATGCAACAGTCACACACTTCGTGCTCTTCGAGTTCCCAGAACGCCATTCCCGGGCCACATTTTGGATGCCCGGAGCCAACTGTAGGCCACTTCGTGCTCTTCTATTTCCCAGAACTCCATTCCCGGGCCACATTTTGAATGCCCGGAGCCAACTGTAGGCCACTTCGTGCTCTTCGAGTTCCCAGAACTCCATTCCCGGGCCACATTTTGAATGCCCGGAGCAACAGTCACTTCGTGCTCTTCGAGTTCCCAGAACTCCATTCCCGGGCCACATTTTGGATGCCCGGAGCCAACTGTAGGCCACTTCGTGCTCTTCGAGTTCCCAGAACTCCATTCCCGGGCCACATTTTGAATGCCCGTAGCCAACTGTAGGCAACTTCGTGCTCTTCGACTTCCCAGAACTCCCATTCCTGGGCCACATTTTCAGCAGGGGCAAGAGCACGACGAGGAGGAGGACGAGCAAGACCAGGAGGACGAGGACGAGCAGGAGCAGGACGAGGAGCAGGAGGAGCAGGAGAAGAAGGACGAGCAGGAGGAGGAGGAGGACGAGCAGGAGGAGGAGGACGACCAGGAGGAGGAGGACGACCAGGAAGAGGAGGAGGAGGAGGAGGAGGAGGGGAGGGGGAGGAGTACCAGGAGGAGGAGGAGGAGGAGGAGGAGGAAGAGGAGGAGGAGGAGGAGGAGGAGGAGGAGGAGGAGGATGAGAGAGGAGGAGGAGGAGAAGAGGAGAGGAGAGGAGGAGGAAGGAGGGGAGGAGGACGAGGAGGGGAGGAGGGGGGGGAGAGTTCCAGGAGGAGGAGAACGAGGACCACCAGGAGGAGGAGGAGGAGGAGGAGGAGGAGGAGGAGGAGGAGGAGAGAACACCAGGAGGAGGAGGACGAGCAAGACGAGGAGGACGAGAACGAGGACGACCAGGAAGAGGAGGAGGAGGAGGAGGAGGAGGAGGGGAGGGGGAGGACTACCAGGAGGAGGAGGAGGAGGAGGAGGAGGAGGAGGAAGAGGAGGAGGAGGACGAGGAGGAGGAGGAGGAGGACGAGGAGGAGGAGGGGGGGGGAGAGCACCAGGAGGAGGAGAACGAGGACCACCAGGAGGAGGAGGAGGAGGAGGAGGAGGAGGAGAGAGCACCAGGAGGAGGAGGACGAGCAAGACGAGGAGGACGAGAACGAGGACGAGCAGGAGGAAGAGGAGAGGAGGAGGAGGAGGAGGAGCAGGAGAAAGAGGAAGGAGGAGGAGGCAGGCTGAGGCTGAGGCTGTGACTGCGACTGCCGTTGCCGCTGCGACTGTCATCGCGAATGCGACTACGACTGCGAGAACAGCAGAATTCGACAACTGGATTTTCATCTGAATCTTAAGGGGAATGCTTTCAGATATGCTTCTACACATCGCTGTTAGGTTGCTTTGCCGGGATAATTACCTAACAGCGAAGACTGATAGGTTTCTAGTGGGACTCAAAAGAGCTCACAGATCACTCCACAGGGGGGTCCGGGCAGGTGTTGGGAGTTGCCGGGCGGCAGGTGCCGGGCTCGTTTTTCGCCAACAGTCACACACTTCGTGCTCTTCGATTTCCCAGAACTCCATTCCCAGGCCACATTCTGGAGGGCCGAATGCAACAGTCACACACTTCGTGCTCTTCGAGTTCCCAGAACTCCATTCCCGGGCCACATTCTGGAGGGCCGGATGCAACAGTCACACACTTCGTGCTCTTCGAGTTCCCAGAACTCCATTCCCGGGCCACATTCTGGAGGGCCGGATGCAACAGTCACACACTTCGTGCTCTTCGAGTTCCCAGAATTCCACTCCCGGGCCACATTTTGGATGCCCGGAGCCAACTGTAGGCCAATTCCTGGTCTTCGAGTTCCCAGAACTCCATTCCCGGGCCACATTTTGAATTGCCGGACGCAACAGTCATACAATTCTTCGTATTTGACATCCCAGAACCTTATTCCCGGGCCACATTCTGATTAACGGGATGCAACAGAAATGCATTTCGAGCTCTTTGGCATCCCAGAACCCCATTTCCAGGCCACATTCGGAATAACAGGATGCAAGAGTCAAACACTTCGTGTCCGAGACCTCCCAGAACGCCATTCCCAGGCTACATTTGGAAAAATTGCACACAAGAGGTATACACGCCGGGTTATCTGGCTGTCTGGAACGGCAATCCCGGGATACATTCAGAGTAATCCCACGCGACAGTCACACACTTTGTGCTTTGTGACCTCTCAGAGCTTCATATCTGGGCGACACTCCTGGGCAACACTCGTTCTCACACTATCATGCAACACTCATACACAGTGTCCTTGTCGTCTTGTCACATCTCAACTTTCAATTCCCTGACACAACCGTCACACACACACTGATTTCTCTGAGTTTTCACTAGGTTAGTCTCGGGTCACATCTAATATTCCTTCCGCGACAGCCGTGCTTGGTTCAGGAGTTGCTAGTGACACTGCAGTCCATTTCACTCAACGTGCTCGTCACTAGAGTTTCGATTGCAATGGCGTTCCCCTGGCCGTACCGCTATATGGAACGTTCATCCGCAGCCTCTGCTCCGCGAGGTTCGTCCGAAGTATCGCCGCCTCGCGGTGCTTCTCAGCCTGCGGAGGAAGGTCGACAGACGCCTGGTCCTGGCGCTCTGCAGCCTGCGTCTTTCACGGTCGCCTCCTTCAATTTCGGGTTCGAGCAGGGCATGATGACTGGTAAGCAGGCGGCCACTCACTGCGCTAACTTCGGAAGGGTGTGCGCCACGATAGTGGAGACCGCTGATGCTGATATTGTCTGTGCATGCGAGGTCGGTGCGTTCCGTGAAGGCTTTCGCCGAGCAGCGATCAACGTGACAGAGATCCTCAGTAAGCCTTTCGGTGATGGCATTGGCTTCTCGGAGGTCGACAACTACTTGACTCTCTGGGGCTTCCGCGGTGCTTCTCAGCCTGCGGAAGTGACTCCGTGCGAAGACAGCAAAGTTTACAGGCCTCCTAGCGGGCGAGAGATTGATGCTGTCATTTCACATTTTGAGGTGAACAAACCAGGCCATGACAAGTTCTACGTGGTGATCGCCAACATGCACATCGTCTGCGGCAAGAAACCGCCGACCATTCAGACTCGAAAGCGGACAGTTCGCCATCTCCGCTTGCACCTGGACGGCATCGCTCAGATTCTCAATGCTTCGGAGCCGCACGTGCCAGTCGTTCTGCTTGTAGTCGGCGACGACAACCTGACTTTCCAGGAGGCGCGGGAGGCTTACCAGCGCCAGCAGAACGACGAGAAGCTCTGGGAGGTCCTTGCCACTCCGGCCGACCTCAAAGGCGACCACGTCGCGGTCTGCGGAGCAGTCGCCCGTTTCCGCTCGATTGCCGTTGGCGCGTCTTTTACGGATCGTGGCATGCGCAACGACGCACACGATGCCGTGGCGGTTGTGCTCACTCCCCCTGGTGCTTCTCAGCCTGGGGAGAGCAAGAGGCGGAAGATTGTCGTCGAAAACGTCTCCGACGCCGACGTCAGCGTACAGGCGGACGCCGAGTCTTCTGTGCACTGGGATCGGTCGCCGAGCCCTACTCCTCCGCTTTCACCGACTTCACCGGCTGATCCCGACTACGTCGAGGATGTCGTTCAAACTCGCGCGAACGACTTGCACAGGGAGCTGAGGCAGTTTTGGGGCGAAAGGTACGACGATGAGTACGATCCGAAAGTCCTCTTTCATCTCAGTCTCTTGCTTGTCAAAAAGAGGAAGTCCACGGAGCTAGCGGACACTGATCCAGCTGGTGCTCCTCAGCCTGGCTCGGCATATGACGCGGCCTTTGCGTCTCAGGAGGAGACTGGCCGAGCCATTATCTCTGTCCTTCAGCTTCGACATGAGTTTCTGCGGAGCAAGAACATCGACGACATGCGCTACGTTCTCACGGAGCCTGAGCGCCAGGAATTTGTCAGACTAGCCCGCGACCAGTACGAGCAGTCGCGGCAGCAGCGTGCGCTTCAGGAACGGGATGTCGAAAAGGGAAAAGCGAGAGGCAAGTCTGCGCCACAAGGGGGCCATGCGGTTCCGCAGGGTCCCAACAAAGGGCCAGGCGGTAAGAAAGGTTCTCGCGGTGCTTCTCAGCCTGTGGGAAAAGGTGGCCAGGCCAAGGGTGCAGGTCTGGGTAGCCTCGCCAAGTTTGTGAAAGACCAGAAGCGTAAGCGGTGGCATCGCCATTTGCAACGTGTGGCCGGCACCAAACAGATCTGGGAGGTGCTGGCCTTCTCAGGGCGCTTCGACGTTCATT